CCTCAATTGGCTCAAGTTATTTATGTAAGCACATTGTTCACGAGTACGACTCGTACGTAATATCAACAGGGTTAAATGAATGTGACGAAATATGTAAGTAACGGTTCCGACTGTTCTTGTGGGGTTGATGTGGCCCCGGGCGTATGATTTTCTTGAAGGACTGTAGTTAATTTGTCATGGCATGGGTATACTCAGTGGTGGCGAACCCGACTCGGGAGTTCGTCGTATCATACACCGGGTAAAACCGCTCGCTGTGGAAGAATAATTCAGCAATTTATCTTCCCGGTAAAAAAAAGTAGCTCAACGTACAGGAAACAGTAGCCGTTCACAAAATCCAGGCCAAAACCAGAGGGGGTGTCAGTGGAACTGATGACCAGGTATATGGCGTCGGTGGTCCCGCCAATGGCTGTGTTTCAACGATCGAGGCCAAATTTGCCCATTGGGGGTGAGCTCATAAGTAACCCCACCAGTAGTGAAATACAAGGATGAGAGCTGGTTGTACTGGTCAGGTGAGATCTGTAAGAGACCAGTGCTCTCATCGAGGGTTGCCCCCGTAGCAGACTGATATTTGTCGAAGGCATCTGAACAGTGGATTAGAAGGGTTTCAATGTCGCACAGGACACTTACCAGTTGCAATGGAAATGAAGGTGGATCCGGTATCAACGACACCAGCTGTCTCGGCCAAAATGGACGTAGACCCATAGCTGATGGACTGATCAATGCCCCAATACATACTCGCTGGATATATTGATGTGATCGGCACATAGCTGATGTCTCCAGTAATCTTGGAGGCGTCATAACCGCCGAATGTGAGCTCACCGCCGCTATCGTCAGAGGAAGCAGGTGCAAAGAACACTCCGAGTACTTCCGAACTGATAATTTTCTGCGTATAGAGGTTGTCCATCACAGTTGCAACTTCATTTCCATTACTGACGATGCCAACCGTCAAATCGACCGGTCCGAGGCCAAGAACTCCATCCGTACCATCCAGATATGAGTGACTAGATGCGACGCCAATAGATTGATCACTGATGATCAGATCAGGGTTGAGCGTTACGGTGTCTGTGTATTCCTCTCCAGTAGCATAAATCCCATCGCCGTATGTAACAGACTGGAAACGGTTTTGACAAAATGTATGTGCCACGTAGAAAACAAATACCCACAAATTGATTGCCCGTGTCATGGCTCGTGGTAGTCTGTTTGTAAGTCTTTTTTTTTTTTTTTTTTTGATTCAATTTTCATGTCCTATGGAGAGTAATACTCTATGGAGGACAATACTATCTAGTCTAGGGGGCCCCCAGTGCCCCCTGCGCATCTCTGAGTTCGCGAATGCCCTGATGTGGGACGTGCCCCATCAGTCCGCCGTTCCCGCCGGCCGTTTTAGACGCGCAACCCATCGAAGATGAGACGACTTATATGTACGCTTGTGGTAGGTATGGATTATCGGTATGAAGATAAAGACGCGTACTCGGCCGCAGAAGTGGGCAGGTACAGGAGTCGAAAGGTTGCAGTAGGATTAATTGGTGGGTGGTCCCATTTTGTTGGCTGATGGGAGGACCCGTTCCCGTCTGACTGATACCAGTGATGAAGCTAGTGACTCCGTGTGTGCGAGTGAGTGGTGGTGATACAAGATGATATGAAATGTTTGATGGTACCGAGGTGCGTGTACAAGCTTGCGTGCTTTCAAACCTGTTCAAAACTGATCAGTCTGCGGAGTGCGAGGAAGCGGAATTTCACCAAGGACGGTCTTGAATCTACAAGTGCCATTGACATATCTAACGAGGTGAGGGGTGGCGTCAGGGTCTGTCAAAAGGAATTGAATGGAAGTGGCTCTTCGCCCTAGGGCGCTGACAAGTATGTGACGGTCACGTTGGAAGTGTGGGCAGTCTAGCAGGTAGTGGTGTACCGTCTCATCTATGCCGGGGCAGTGGGGGCAAGATGGGCTGTCAGCTTTGCGGATACGGTGGAAGGTGCTTGTTAAGTGGTGCGTGGCCAGTTCGAAGGAATATATAGAGGCTGATGAGGCGTTTTGGGAAATTGGCAGTTAATTTGGTGAATGAACATTTGAGGATGCTGGGGGTCGAGTTGATTGAAGCGGTAGAAACGCGGGGGATTTGCGCCAGAGCTGTCCCCATCTCTGGGTAGTGTCCTTGCTTTGCGTTTCTCTTAGGGCCGAAATGCTTAGTGGGAGGGCTCAGTGTCGAAGGAGGCGGGGTAGGCGGGTTGATGGGGCTGTTGTTATGATGGCTCACTGCTGCCAGTTTGGCGTGCTTATCGACCTCCTCATTGCCATGGATCCCTGAGTGTCCTGGGACCCAGCGCATGGTTACCTGAAGTCTACATTATCTTTGGCGATTTTGCTCATCATCCTACGAAAACAATCCGCCAGATAGGAACCAGGACGCGAATGGAATGTCTCACCTGCTCAAATCGAAGCTTGGTTGTCCACCGAGATAGAAAGGGGGAAGGACAGGTCGCGTTCCGTGGCCATCAAACGTGCGGCTAGAATCAGGCCGACTTCTTCTGCTTCAAATACCGTATGCTCTTCATCCGTCCCGAGGTGATATCGCAGTGTTCTGGGCTGCTGTCCTGCGCAGAATAGGACTGCAGCTGCCCCGATTTTACCCTTATAGCCCGATCCATCGCTGTATATCTGTATTTGGTCCATTAGTGTTTCATGTTCTGAAATGGCTGTGTCCTTGTTGACGGCGATATGCGTGGTCCAGGGGTTTTTGGCAGATGGTGGGCGTTGAGCTGGGGTTAGAGTTTCTACGGTGGCAGGAGATAGGGCAAAGCGGCGGGTGAGGTGGTGGAGGGATGAACGGTGCGCTGCGACGTAGCGTTGGGTGGCTTTGCGGACTGGGATGTGGAGCGGGTGGGAGCTGGGAAGGGCTGCAATGTGGATGATGGCTCGGTGACAGGCATCCTGGAGGAGGAGGGAGGTGGGGAGGAGGTTGGCGTGGACCTCTAGAATGTCAGTGGCTGTGGTGCGCATCGCTCCCGTCAGGGCGATGGCTGCCAGGCGCTGAACTGTTGAGAGTCGTTTGGCGAACACCTACTGAGCCTCTCTGCAAGGTGCTCGTCCCATGGCTGAAAATGGGTGAGAACCAGAGATCGGCGGCATACAGCATCTTAGGGACTGCCACTGCCAGGTAGAGTTGGCGCATCAGTCGCATGGGGATGCCCTTGGCCGAGGTAGAGAGGGCGACGTAACTGGAGTACGTAGGATGTCCCTTTTGCTACAGCGTTGTCGACTTGTGCCTTCCAACGCAGTTCCTGATCTAGGATGATGCCGAGGAATCGGTGTGTTGGGGAGGGGGCGAATGGTGGCTCCCTGGATGACCATGTCGGGACGTGTTTTGTGTCTGTTCATAGAAAATCCATTAGCGCAAATTTATTGTTTCAAAACGGGAATTGTGAACTCTTGACCAATCATAGCCTCCCCCTGGACGTTCGAGCATGTCTGCCAAGATGGCGTGGAGTTTCAGAGAAGTCCTTTCCTGATGGCAATGAAAGCTGTGTCATCGACGAATGCTAATGTTTAGTTCTCTCAGTGCCTCTCTTCCTCTTCGGGGCGATGCGACGTCGACCAGATCGGAGCTGTAAATAATATAAAGAATCATTAATAGCGGGTCTCCTTGACCTATTCCATTGGACACAGGGAACCAGTCGGACGTGTATCCGTCGAATTTCAATTGAGTTTGACGGTTTGTTAGTACCTGTTCAGTAAAATCCACTATATCACCTGGGATACGTCTCATTCGCATGTTGTGATAGCAGGCGCCTTGTCACGGCGTTGGGAAAGGCACCTTCAATGTCCAGAAACAGGACCGAGGCTACTTTGTGCGCTCTCCACGCGTTCTTGATCGTCGCTTCCAGTAGGTGGAGCGAATTGGTGGTGGGAGCGACCCGGGCCTACTCCCAAAGTGTGTGTTGGGTAGTAGTTGGTGGTGTTCGAGGACATGGGTGAGCTGATCCAGCTACTACAAGCCGTCAGTAGCTTTCCCAGTTGTGTTAAGTAGGGCGATTGGTCGGTAAGCTTTTGGGACGGAGTAATTAGGCTTGCCCGGTTTACGCAGAACCACTGTAGTGAACTTCCTCCACAGCTGATAGTACATGCGGTGTGAGAATGTGGCATTAAAGAGGTGTAGGAGGTAGGGGACAAGGATGTCGGAGCACTCCTTGAACACTATGTTGCAGATCCCGTCAGGACCGGGTGCCTTGTACCCACTAAGGTTGCATATCGCCCGCTCTATCTGGTCCGTGGTGAGTGGTGGTAGGCGCTCAACTGGGTCAGGGTATTCCACATCTTGTGGGACAGGATCAGTGTCGGGGGGGAGGAGGAAAGAATGACTTAGCTAGAATTCGGCTCTTTTCATCATTGGTGGTTGCTTCATCCATAGTTCCAGTCTTGATTGGTGAAGGAGAGAGAGGGTATGCGAGTCTTGCCACCGTCGCGGGGTTCTGCTGAGATGTACTTATTAGCTGGTCCACAGATCATTACCTTCAATATCTTCCAGCCATTCTAACCAGTGCTGCTTCTTCGTAGCCATGATCTCGTTCGCGTATTGGTCTTTGGCCGACTTTGAGGTCGTCGTGGCTAGAGTGTTGGGGGAGACCTCTCATCCGGTATGCCAGTTTACTTAACTTCTTGACCCGTGATCTAAGGATGGATAGGCGTTTCGTCCACCATCGCTTGGAATGTGGACATGGTTTCGAGTAGGGCACACAGGAGTCCATGGTGGCGGTGATCGAAAGGGTAAGGTGCCGGGCGGCCTCCTGAAATTCCTCATCTGACGCAAGGGGTTGGGCAGGGTCTGGTGGTGAGGTTTTCTCCGAGATGCTTTTTGAAGGCGTCCCAATCGACCCCGCGCCAGTTACGACGAGGTTCTGTGTCTGTGCTGGGGGTCTCGAGTTCCAGGGTCAGCAATATAGGAAGATGGTCAGTCTTTGGCCCTGGAGTCCCGGAGCAGGTTTCACAGCATACTACCGCGTCAAGGAGGTGTTCCGTGCCAAACACGTTGTCCAGGGCGTGTCCAGTTACCGGTGCTGATGGATTGGAGAGTTGGGGTGTTTTGCGGTAGGAGCTGGATCATTCCATGGTCGGCAATGAGGTCGATGAGGGGGTTGGCGGCCGTGTAGTTGAACAGATGACGGTTGTGGATGTCCTCCCATAAGGGATGATGTCGGTTAAAATCTCCCAACCAAAGCATGTGGTCGTTATCAGGATGTTTTGAGGGAAGCGATGTTGCTTTCTAGATAAGTGTTCGAAGGTGGTTAGCGTGTTGTTATGAGTGCAGTCATTATAAATATTAAATATTGTACACCGTCCATAGGGACCAGAAAGTTGAATGGCGATGACATCCGATGAGGGGAAGGTGAGCTGTTTCCACGAATTAGTGTCGAGTCTAGTGCTGATCAAGATGAGGGCCCGCGACCGCTGCTGGGGGTGGGTATAATGCTGCGATGGGTACAGGACGTGCCAGGTGGTGGTTGGCGCTGGAATTACTGTAGAAAAGTTAATATAGGGTTCCTGGATGATTAGTATGTCCCAGTCCGCGATGACGGGGTTGTTGAGCAGGGATGATTGAGCGATCAGAGAGGTGTTGAGATTTTGTTGCCAATCTTGAGTCGGGACGTTGGTGGTAGGGTTGTGATTAGACATGAGTGGGGGGTGAAGAGGGTGAACTGTCAGAGGGTTGGGAGGATTGAGAGGAGCGTGGAGTGTTGGGTGGTGAGGTGAGTTCGGGGTCGGGGTCTAGTGGGGGGTAGATGTCTTTGAGGATCTCAGCGGCAGTGGAGGGTTGACTGGGAGAGTTGGGCTGGGGCGACGGGGATGGGAGAATGGGGAGACGTTGGAGTGCGAGTGTGGTTTGACGGAGGGTGTCGTTCGTCTGTGGAAGAAGGTCTTGTGGAATCGGCGGGGAGAGGAAGTGGGAGGGCAGTCTGGGAGGTCTTGGAGGGATGATGGCATGTGTCCAAGCTACTTCAGTGGGGAAATAGGGCATTTTGTTCTCGGGGAATTTTTCGTCTAGAAGGTCGCATCTTCGAAGAAATTCCGGGCATTTCCTGCTCCAACTCGTGTGGTTGTTGCTGCGACAGTTAACGCACCGAGTGGTGCGGTAAGCATTGCATTGGGTGGAGCGATGGTGTTCCCCACAGGTTCCACAAGTATCATGCTCGTCAGTACAGCTGCGGGCAATGTGGCCGTAGTGTTGACACTTTGCACAGCGGATAGGTTCCTTCTTGTTCTTCCGGATAGAGATTCTCTCGTTGTCGATACATAGTCCATCTCGCAAAATGTTGTTGGCCGTGGGTGCATCAGATACTTGTAGGAGAGCGAAGGCCTTGCGCTGCTGGTTGGATCTGCGGTTCAGGGTTTGATCCAGCGAATGGATGTCAGTGTATCCGCCGGGAGTTGGTTTTCCTCTTCGACACGGTGGAGAAAGTCGTCGTTTTCAATCTGTAAATGGATCGGTAAGTACTCTAGGACTAATGCAAATGTTCGGGAGCGAAACGATACTGTTGATTCAAATTGACTTTCTAGTGATGTGCGTCCCGTGGGGCTTCGGAGCCACGACGCCAGTTCCTCAGATTCCAGTTCTACTACTATTCCTCCATTACGGAGCGTGGTTATAGCTCTAACGCTGCCTGGTGGGGTGCTGTCGTCCCTTATATTATTGATTGCCTCCTTGAGGTGAGACGCTATTTCCCTGTTTGCAGTCCCAGGTGGGAATAGGCTAGAACCTGGGTTGGGGTCCAATAGAATCTCGCGCGCCCTAACAGCCGCTCGGCCAACGGCCTGGTCCACCTTGGGGGGGAGGTGGGCAGCTGCTACAGAGCTGTAGGTGGGCTGGGTCGTGGGGGGTGAGGGGGAGGGGGTGGAGGTCAATTGGAGGGATAGATGGTTGATGCGGGTCTTGGGTGGCATCCAGCGAGGGGGCAAGTAGTTTGATGGTGTTCTGACAGTCTGTTACTGTGGCGTATAGGGCATCCGCGGTCTCTTCTAGGCGTTCGGAAGCTACCGAGACACCTCCTTCTTGTTCGGTTCGCTCATCTCTGGCTAACCGATGAAGTCGCTCAGCCTTGTCGAGGGTGATGGTCAAGGTATCCTCCGTTTTCTTAGCAGTCTTTGCCAAGGTCTCCGAGGCTGCATGGACTCCGGCAATCTGTGGAGCTAATGCCGCAATCGTGTGGTCAACCAACCGAGCAGATAGTGATTCAGTTAAGGTGCCAGATAAGGTGAGTGCCAGTTCCTTTGCTGCTGCTTCTGCTATCTCACATACCACCTGCTTTTTCAGAAGGAATGCTACTGCGCGAATTGCCGCGTTAACCGGTACTGGAGTGACAGTAGACATTTGTGTGATGTGAAATAGAATGGTGGAGAGATGAGTGAGCGTGAATGGTTGACCGACTTGACAAAGAAGTTTGGACGCCAGGTACGCTTCCGCACTTTCAGTATCCATTACCGAGCTACTGGTTGCCATGATTTCCTCTACCGTGGTCTGAGAACGGGTGGTTTTTACGGGTATTGGGAGCCGTCGTTTGAGTGGGTGAGTTGGGCTTGGGTGGTCCTGTTCCAGGGGTGGTCTTTCCTGGGGGCATGTTGACCTAGTAGCGCGTCGAGCGTTTCTAAAGGGTAAAATGGGTTAGTTTAGGTGGTTCCGCTGAGGCGGAGTAACGCCGTTAGGCGTTGGGTGCGTCGTTGGACGCTTTGGTTGACGAGGATTTTTCGGGGTCCTAGTCGGGGTGCCACTTGGTTCAGGTCCAAGAAGCGATCCACCTTCGCGTTAATATGCAAAACTTCAACTCAAACGCCGATTTATCACCAGTCTCGGATGTCCTGCAGAGCATCGTAAGTGCTCGGTTTTGATGTATCGGCGTCTGAATATAATAATACATACGTCATTACGGTTTTACTTCCTTGTTTCCGAAAGCAAGTAGGGTTTTCAAACTTTCGACATGCGTAACTTCCGTCAAGCAAGCCAATTTGTGTTAGCAGTAGTAGACATTACAGTAGATCGGTAAACTTTGTACACACTCGATCGTAAATTTTTCCAGCAATCCTAACAAAGCAAGTTCATGGTGACACAACACCGTGACGTATGATGAGGTGTGAAAGACAAGACAACAACATGAGGACAACATAAGGACAACACGACTTACAAATACAACGCTGATCAAGTGATGGGATGACTGCTGCAACTTCACTGTGTACCGGTACTGCCCGCCCCTTGCCGTGTTAATCTTGCTAAAAAGGCATGAAGCATAGCACGTGCATAACGCTTTTCTCCTTGGGAAACAGCTTCAGCCATTCGCTCCAGACGACTTGATACCTCAGGTGTGCTGCGGAACTCCATTAGGAGGTCTAGCTCCATGTTTTGAATGTCGGTGTACCTGTGGTAATCGAGGATCAAAGAGGATCAGGGTGTAGAATAAGAAAGCCGTACTGAGCTGTAAACCACGAGAACGCCTCAGCCAATATATTGCTCTCGCATAAACTAGATTTGATTGCCTGGAACGCCAGAGCTTCTAAACGTGCGTTCTTGAGCTTCGGGATTCTTGTTAACCTGTTGCCATAAAGGACGCGAGATAGTACACCAACCTTAAGGGCGAGTCGGTACATCGACTTGGGAGAGCAGCGTAAAGTCTGAGTTGTGTTGTTACGTCGGCTGAGCGGATCTTTGGACTTCAGAGGATAGAAAGAAACTTGGCCAGTATAGCAATAGTATATGTAGGATGCCCAGCTGCACGAACAGTTTTGAGTCACTTTGAGCTAGTCAGAGTAGCCGTAAGCTTACGTCGCGAATGCCGTGTTTCGAACTAACACCATTCGTTGGGTAGGAGAAACGGGTCGAGACAGCGGCTCAGCGGTCAATGTGTCCGTCGAGCGGAAACCTGGAGGCTGCGTAACCGCCGATTCCGTCCAGCCAAGGTCTAAGCAGCAGACTCAGTACGAGAGATCACCCCAGGCCCAGGGAGAAGGAAACAGGACTCACTGTCATTATCCGAGCTTAGAGCACTGCTATCGGAAGTGGTATCAGAGAAATCGGACTCAGCGGGTGCCGCCCCAGGGGAATAGCTCTGGCTAAAATAAGGCGGGGGTTGACTAGGCGCTCCTTGTTTTATTTCTTCTTCCTCGATGTCGCTGTCGAGGTCATAATCCTGATGTAGCTCGGCGTCCCTCATCAGCCTAGATTCGGTGAGGTAGTGAACGAGTAAAGAATTCTCATTGGGAGATGCTAAAAGATAGTTCCATTATCATTCCTCCACCATGCAAGATGAGAAACCACCGACAAGGGAGAACTGGCTCGATATCGGCGCCGTGGTCCAAAACTGCACTATTTGCATATACGAAGCGAGTCTCTCCTGAAGATCTCCAAGTTCTACGCTTGGACACGGCATGGTATTTGGTGTTGGCGACTTCACCGCTGTTCATGGACTGCCTCAGAGCAGAAGCAGTATTGATGAGGGGGTCAGCGATAACTGGAGGAAAGTTTGCTTTCGTAGTGACCGTAAACCACATGTAAGGGTGTGCAACGATAGTGGACGGCGAGAACAAGCCAAGAAGTGCGGGGGGCCCATGGCCAAAGTCAGCAATCGAGATCGTCTTGCTGCCAAAAGAAGGAACCTCTGAAGCAGACCCATCTTTAAGGCAAACAGTCACCGTGGCGGCGTCCGTCGCCGACGAGCAATGAGTGTGATCAAGGTAAACCTTCACTCTAGCAGGAGCCCAACCTCCTTTTGCGTATTGCAGCCCAAAACGCCACCCCAATCCGAACTTGTCGCTATAAACTATGGTTGAACCCCCTTGCAGGCAGGTGGCAAGGCATCCGTCCCCAGTTTCCAACTGGAAGATTGACGTAACTGAATCAGATACCCTCTGCATGGTGGATGAAGGCAATAAGAGAATGCTTAGGCGCCTCTTTGAGCAGTCTCTTATCCGGAAGGCAGTGCCACACTTCCATATTTGTAACTGGTAATGATCCCAAAATGATCTCATTCCGTTCGAAAACGCGAAATACTCGTCAAGCAAGCCATCAACAGCATTCTAGATATGCTAGAGCAACGACAATCGTCGTCTCAGAATAGCACTGAGTAGATTGAAAACCGTCACTAACAGTGAGCAGCATTCCACGGTCAAATTGCCCCCTGGAGACCGTGATTCTGGGCGCTGAAGTGAACATGAGACGCAAGCAGCGAGCGTGGTGCATTGCCCTTATTCCTTCTCTCGAGGCTTTAGTATTACAATCTGAATAGTCTTGATCGAAATTCTTCACACAAGACTTGGTTCCTACTCACTGTTTCGATTTGATCTCAACTTTCATTGGATATCTTTCTTCATAGTTTCATGCAAGTTTTACACTGTGCTTCACATCACGACAACACCATCCCGGGTCTCTGTAGACAATCAATTGATCATCCAGTAACTACTTGATATTTGCATTCAGCTTCGTGCTTTGAACGATACCGTCACTACAGGCTCGGGAGTAGCGGTTATTGCTAATATACCTTCTAATCGTATGCACGAAGACCTAGGGGAATGACCGGAATCCCCACCTCCTGCCCACTAGGACCTTTGGACCATCAGGTTGGAACTGAGGATCTTTAAGGAGAAGTATGGAACGTAAAATCAATAGGGCAAAATGCAAGATCAAAGTGGTTGTGATACATACTCACCAACACCATGACACAGAATAGAGAGACACACGCAATAGCCTTTACATGGTTGAATTTCCAGCAGGAGGGGAAAGAACGCCAACAGCTTGTGAATGGGAGTGTTCAAGGTGCGTCCGCAGGGCAACCCTGATCGCGCACTATGTCTTTATTATTTCGTTTTAGTATCATGATATCGTGTATGTGACAAAAATGCATTCATATTATCTAAACGTTAAGCGCATCCCACCCCAACCACTCATTGAGTAGTCCAAACTTCACTCCTCGATGATGAATTAGCCACACGATAAGACATTACAGTGTACGGTTCGAGTCTGCTGGCGACATGTCGGACATAGAAATATATATGAGGGCATCAGAGTCGTGCATGTGCTGGTCAAGATGCCAGAGATGGAGGTGCATACGCGTGGCGAGGATCGCAAGGATACACACCTGAAAACTGTAAGTGTTTTGGCTGTTATCAGTAGGAATTATCGACAGAAGTTGGAGGCTCATACTTTTCAAGCGCGGTGTAGTATGCGGACTGTATGTGCGGAACATCAACAACTCAATCACATTGAAGGGTACTAGGAGGTTTACGCACATCAGGAAAGTAGCACTGGGACAAGGACGTTCATGGCAGAGAGCACTTTCAGAACAATAATCATCACCGATGAGCACGCAAATATGCATAAATCCGGACTCACTAAGACCGCATGCATAGTAGAATATATTATGCTTCACAAGGACGGCGTGCAGATGACCCTTGGCCGACCGCCAGCTCTGTATGACACGTATGAGTGTGAGGGAGACAAGTCCTTGGGAAAGCATCGTCAGTACGCGTCTGCATCTTATCCTCGCAGTTCTTGGCAGCTCACCCAGTTGAAACACAAACAAGAAAATAAATGACATGAAGTATAGGACACCACTCGAGCTCCAGGAGCAGCTTGGGATGCCTGTTATCGTCCTGGTCGCAACTGTGAAAGTGGAGTGAATATGTGTGAACAGTAGTGGGGGAAGGGGAAGGTAGAGCACAAACCATATGAGGTGGCAATATTGGTAAAACGGATGCCGACAGATGTTACGACCATGGCCTGACTGATCATTAATCATGAGCATGGGTGTGTTGAGGGCATGGGACTTACAAAAGCAGTGGACAGCATGTCTATGAGTACGATCCTACTGTTGTTCCAGAGCACATATGTTCTGAGGACAAAAAAACCTGGATGAATTGGATGAGGAATACACGTATGTCGCGTAAGAAGAAGAAATACACTCAGAGCAGATGAGTGATATCTGACTGAAAGCTGTGAGAGGAAAGAGCAGCACTCGACAGGGACGTGTATGGAGCATGTATCATGCACGTACATGAGTATATATTGATCAATATCCTACATTTCTGGCGAAGTCATGCAGTAAGTATTAGTTGAAGTCCGCTGTACGTCCACATACATTGGGGTTTTCGTTCGGGGTGAAGTTCACTGCAACACAACGTGTCAGTTTATTATCGGAAAGATTGTGCTGGAGCTCATCAACGCACGACATAGGTACATGGTGATGAGAAAAAAGAGGATATATCGTGTAATGATATATAGGACTTTTACTTTGGTCCAACGCGACCGACACAAAAATTTCCACTGAACAACATTCAATATCCAAACTTGTGTGTATAACGGCTCGAGTCATTACCTCCTCGTGAAGTGAACAAGTGTAATCATAGATCTGGGTAAACGAGTTTAACGGCGGACAGGAAGAGTCGGGAAAAGCCTACCCAGATCGTCGTCATCGACACTGAGCTGTCAGGTTAGAACAAGGAACGATGAAGCAATTCAGATAGTACGTACTGTATAGGTACTGGTGGAATACGGTATGTTACCTTGCCTTCATGTGACTAAGAAAGCGACGCACCGCTAATCGCTGCAGACTTGTGGCCACTGCGACATCGACTGCCGAATACTCCATCTGTGTTTGTTTGATAAGTGAAGAAAACAGGGTTCTCGCACACAAGTCATGCACATTCTTATGTCTGGACTCTGACTCGGAAGGAACCCATCAAGATCGGGGCGTAAATATTGCCATGGGGATAGTATTCGAGCGCTCGATGATCGTGATCATCGGGTTGCTCACGCTTTGCACTAGCAGATAACACAATTGCCTGAGGGGGAGGGCCTGTGTTTATACAAGGAACACCTAACCTCTTTTGATCAACTCTGACCATTTTAAATGCACGCCTCTTCGAGGAAGAGACTTGGCTTTACGTTACATTTCAAATCTTCATTCCAGAAATCCAGACCTACATATTTACAGCTGTTTGCAACTTGAAAACGGTTACAGCTGTAGATCTCTAGGTGTTTCTTCACATCGATTCTGGAGTCTGAAAGACATCATATATGATATCCTTTATTGCAAATAGAATTGAAAGGGTTTGTTTTTGGTGAAATTTCTAGACGAACAAGGATCTAGATTCTCTCAGACGCTACACACATAACACACTCACCTACCTCCGCGTCACATGCGTGTCTCCACCAGCACCTATCCCGACGCCTTCCACTACATCCTGACTTCCCACTCACGCACATGGGTACGACCTTTTTCAACTTCGAGTCAGCATCTGTACCATAGATTTCCGCACACCAATAGCAGGACCTGTGCATGGTCATACAACTTGTCGACACGAGATCCGTCAGTCGATAGGAAGGTTGCTATCGAAAAGTGAGCATTATCAAGGATGGCCTGCATATGAATAATGTGTTCGCGGGCTACCAAAGGACGTCATCAATCGCCATTTTCGTCAGAGCCACGTTAGAGTCGTTCAGCAGCTGTCGGACGAGCTAGTGGTAAGATACGAGGCGGTAACTTAGACAAGTCTTGGCACTTCCACGGGCGACTGCTCATAGTCAAATGCATGTAAGCTGAGCTGCGCTCATCGATATAATAGCAATAAATGTTTGACGTACACACAGAAGAGAGGTAATGCCCCCCATCTCTACCAATACGACTGCTAAATCCCATGTGTGATAAGCACATGGCGACTGGAATGACAATACACTCACGAGTGAACACGCTACAAGAGGCTGCGAGGATGTTCGCAGAAGGGCAACTGATCATACATGCATGAACTAAGAGCCAATAGATACAAAGTGAAATGCCGGCTACGGAAAAGCATGTTGATACAAAAACCATGGGTACAATGCAAGAATTTATGTCTTTCTTCTTGCTCAGGCCAGCGCTGAAGACAAATACGCTTCACTTACATTTGCGGTGATGTTCGGGCACATCGAGATGAAAGGAGTGGATTTGAGAGGAAATGAAAAGATGGGAGGCTACGGAAGCTTCGTACGAATCGTACCAAAATCGTACCGTTAACAAAAATCACTCTGGGGACATTTCGGTCGATGAAATTACATAAAACTGACTGCAATGGTTCCTTCGTTCTTCCTCGAACGAATTCGTTTCTTGACCTACACGTTAACAAACAATATGCAGACAGTCAACTCAAACTTAGACAATCTCTCATCGGCATCAGACATCGTTGATGCACTGCAGAACATCGTAAGTGCCGATGTTTCCATTCTTTCTGCAAATAATAACTATTCGCTTCAGCTGCGTTCACAAGCATTTGTATGTCTATGTGCATGTATCCAACGTGATATTGATCATTAACAGATGCCAGACCTCGACACCCCGTACTCCCGAGCCAGCGTCCCGAATATCAACCGCCCTACCATCGAGCTCAACAGCAAGAGCATCAACACCATCCTCACTGAGCGCCAGCAGCAGCTGGATGCAGTGTTGCGCGACATCTCAGGTCTGGAAACGGTTGGACAGCATCAAGATTTTGCACCAGCAACTTGTCGAACGGAAGGAGAATATCATCCAATCCATGACTTTTCACACGGGACTAGGGTCGGCTCTCTGGCGCTTGCCAACTGAAGTCATAACCCAAATTTTTCACCGCTTGTCTCCCGGAAGACAAATATTTGACACCCGCATCAAACCTGGCCCCCATGCTTTTGACCAGAATATGCCGACCATGGAGGGACGTTGCTGTGGATATGCCCGGTTTATGGTGCAGGTTGCATGTGGATATCAACATCAATGGAGTCGGGCAAGAAGATGAGGAAGTCGACGACAGCGACTGGGAGGAATCAGATGTGGAATTCGATGATAACGCCTGGCAGCGCGCTGCTTTCTGCTATAACTCCTGGCTCAAGCGATCGCGAGGACGTCCACTTTCGTTAGTACTCAGGCGGTACCACTCAACCAAGCTCTTAGGAAACCTTCTTCAGCCTTACGCCAATCAAATCTCGTCTCTCTCTATACGTTTTCTCCGACGAGTGGGAAAACCACAACCTTTGTTAAAAGACGTACCAGCACTTCGAGAGTTGGTCATACTAGAGATGAAAGGTCCTGACATTCAATCCATGGCACAATCTATCTCGCAACTTCCATTCACAATGCGCGTTCTCGATGTCATGAAATCGCCGTTCGACATGCATCGCTTATCTTCTCTCAATCCCGTATGGGCCCACCTGACACAGGTCAAGATCACCCTGCTTCATCCGGATGCATTTTTCCACTTGCTCCATCTATGTCCCAACCTCTCCTCGTTGACTGTTGCTGCGGTATTCGGTTACCGACGGACCTCGGAGTCATTCACGCACACCAACACGCACACCAACATTCAATCCTTAGACATTGATTATACTACTGACTCCGCGATGATCCTAAACCCTTTATCTATATTCGATACTCTATCACTCCCCAATTTGCGTGTGCTCAAAGCTCGCTGCCTTACCCCGGTGCATCATAAGCAATTGAGGAAATTTTTTGTCCGGTCAAAGTGTCCCCTGGAGCGCCTGATTTTCGGTGGTTGGGCGAAGGCGACGGATAGGGAGCGAGCAAAGTATGTTGCCCTTATTCCTTCCCTCGACGTAGTAGTGACATAGGAATCGGTTGTTACGCGTCTCACAAAATGCTGATATTAGGTCTTGGCAGCGGAGGTGGTATCGTACTACGTATCATGTCGATACTATACATTATATGTCGTTCATGCACGTTTATGCCTCACGAGAAATTCCAGGCCTGGAGTCAGGGGAAAGATCAACCAAAGAGAATTGCTGCAGCTGTACAAACTGATAATTCGCCAACAGTTTATTAGGCTGGAACTTCATCAGGCACCAAGCTAGTCATGGAAGTCTCCAGCGTGCCGCCACGAATTAAGTACTGTACTCCTACCAGGACCGTCGACCTAGGTTTTCATCTGACAATCCTAAGAATGGCCGAACCACACGACTTGAATTGATATATAATACCGCTGACACTTACCTTTCCACAATATGTTTGCAGCGGGAACACAAGCGCAAGTGCAAAACTCAGAGGGGCTCTCCTTACCAGCGTACCAGTGTGCAGCCACAACTCGGGTGAGTATGTATGGTTTGATGCTGGATGCCTCTTTGACATGTATATGGATGAGCACAAACGCCCCTCCGTCGTCGCCCAGCCTATACAGCACGATGGTCGCACCTACGCACGTGCTGTAAGTACTGCAGCACAGTATTTTTCAACCCTAGATTGAATGCCTATCAAATTTAATGAAATATGCATACGTTACGAGAAACAGTACTCTACTGCATGCACGCGCCTTCTCTCGCGATATATGGCCATACTTAAGCTCGTCAAGGACTCCGTCGACGGGACGATATCGCACGGATGGTGCGGCTGCAGTATCACATCGCACGGCGTACCTACAACTGTGAAGAGGCAGGCGATTTGCATTGGTATCTTTCACCGTCTAATCAGTTAGTGCAAAGTTTCTTACCTTTACGGACGCGTTGAAGCCTTGGCAACTATGTGCAAGAATCAGCTTCACCCGCTCTTACAGGAGCTTGCCATAGGGTATGCTAGGTTAAAGGGAAATGATAACTGAGAAGAACGGAACAAAATGGTCAGCTGGTAATTAAGAATCCGTTGCTGGCTTCCTCTCGGACTCACGTTAAGTTATTCCTTGTACAAACAAAGGACTGGTGGGAAGAAGAAATGCGGGTTCGGGTCGAGTGTTGGGTGCGTTCGTGGAGCATGATTTCTCAAGGTCCGAGTCTAGATATCGTAATGAACGCCAGGATACAGCAGGTCGCCACGGGTTAAAGTAGACCAGGACGGAAAGGAAGTATTGGGAATTCAAATGAGATGGAAATAACGAAACACACCTTGATCTTCCTCCTTCCAATGTTTCAGTTATGATTTCTTTCGACGTTATCCCGGCGTGAACATAGGGTAGGATCTGATCTGAGCGGGGACACTGCTTGTGACCGGTCCTGTCTGCAGAAGAAAAAGAAGGTGTAAGACGGCACGATTGTGGAGTATTGTTCCTGGTCGCTGGTTCCCCCAGTAGCCAACAAATGCAGCGGAGTATGTGACGAACCTCAGAATGCGTAGGGTGCTTGTCCACAAAAAATTGATTAGCTACAACCTCGATAGATAAGTATACGTGCTCAAGAATATGATCCAGAGGAAAAGGGCGCGGAGATGGTCGAACGGTTTTTGTTGGTCTAGAGTCCAAGGATTGGGTATTCAAGACAGTGGCTCAGTACTTGGCAGTGTCCCAAGTACTGGCTACTAATACGCCCATACTACAGTCAGTACACAACTGGATGATCGACATGACAGTGAGATTCGACCACAAGATCAATAAATATTGAAATCATCGGCAGAAGCGGAGTTGCCATCCAGAGTATCAAACGCTTCCAAACGTGTAATGAGATCTGAATTAATAATTATAGCCGATCGATCATCGATCAGCGCCAGCTTCCGGAATGTCGATCAGTTTAGCGAAGGTCTATAACTTCGCCTAGTTGACTCTGCCAGAGAGGAAGTAATCGGTTCATTTTTCACAGAAACAGTATTTCACGAAGTGACTTGAATGATAACAGGCTTGCTATGCTATAGCCTATACATCTAAGAGCTCTTACAAAATAGCAACAAACCACTATTGGCACATAGCTTACCAAGGATGTATTGGACGTGTCTCGTGTATGCACTCAAAATATTATCAGCGACAAGGTGAAATCTCAAGTATGTATCTACGTCCATAGAACACTAAATGCGAGTTAACAACTATAAAACACAGGAAATGTCAACAGCACCATGCTAGAAGCAGAAACATGATCGGTCGCCTCCGTGCTCTCCGGTGGCAGGCTGTGCTGCTGTGGCTGGTTGTTGTGAATCAGGATTCGGTGAGGGAGGGTCGAGATATTCAATAGGTACTATATCATCATCTTTTTTGGGAGCGTCCGCTGCAACGTGGCGCTGTGAATTCATGCATTAGACGTTGAATACAACGAGAAAAATGAACGGAACGTGCCTCTCTAGCCTGCGCGAGAGGAATGTCAACGACGGACGGCTGTCCGTGACCTCCACGAATGGGCCGCCAGAATGATAGGTGGTGTATACGGGCTGCAAATGTGGTGGGTGGGTTGCCAGTGGCAGACGATGTAGTAGTTGACAGTAGTCGAGACTGGAAAGAGTGTGACGGGAAGCGGTCGAAACTCGCATTCCCGCCGGAATTTATATCTGAGCGTCTCAGAGTTGAGGTGTGCACCGAGAGAGGGCGGGGTAAAGGCAACGTAGCAGAAATCTGCAACACGAGTGTCAAATGAAATGCAAAATAGATAAGAGAAAGAGACCTACATCTAAGGGATCGCAAGGTTGATCCTTCTGACCAGGCCGTAATGCGTTCGCGCGAGAGAAACGAAGAAGTTTGCTGAGGCGAAGGAACATGGGTTGCTCTATTGTAAGCGAAGGTCTCTGCACCATAGGTATGGCAGGTATCGGTGGTCTGCAGCACCCAGCGGCAGGACGACGAGTTGCATCAGACTGCAATGATAGTGATCGATGAGTGGTGTAATGAGTAACAAATTGAATGCGCACATTTAGTAGATCACTGAAGGCTGAATTTAAGTTTTTGCGTGCAATGGTCTGTAAGGGGATGTGAGCACGCATAAAGTGGATGTTCGCGAGGATTGTGTACACCGGCCTGAGCAAGGACCTCGGGCGGAGTGTTGCATATGTAGATTTTGTAGTCATCTTCAAGGTGTGTCACGGTTGTATAAGCCAGTTTGCACGAGTCAGGCGAGAGGATAAGGACTCTAGGATTCCGAGTGTCGAAGGAAGCAAGGAGCTTGCGGGACTCGAAGGCCCAGAGCTTTATGGTGTCGTCTTCACCAGCACTAGCCAGGAGAGTGCCATCAAATGAGAGTGCTAGACCAGTGACAGTATTAGTGTGCCCTTCGAAGGGAGCTCCGACAGCCTGCAGCGTCGATGCGTTGAACTGGTAGATTGTCCTGGCATGGTCATCCTTGGTGAAGCTGAATGCGGCCAAAATGTTTTTGTTTTTGTTTGTCCAGAATACCGGCGCATTTGTGTATCCACCATTACAGCTAAATTTCCCAGCTATCCTCACATCCAACATTTGCGATTGGACATCCCAGACCTCGAGCCAATTTCCGACCCATGACTTGGCTACGAGCCTCCTTGAGTCTGTCGAGAATCGAACTGCGCCCATGTAACCAATACTTTTGAATGGACCAGCCATGAGTTTGCCGGTGTCCAAGTTCCATATCCGCGCTGTAAAATCGCGTGCCCCGCTTGCCAGCAGCGTGTTGTCTGCAGAGATATCAATGCAGGTGATCATCCGTGAGTGGCCTTGAAGTTGTTTCACAATCCCCGTCTCAATCTCACAGGCTTTCAGCTCCGCACTATCGTAATCCCCACCACCAGTGACAACCCATCGACCATCCCTTGATACCGCAACTGCCAATACCTTCTTCTCGCAAACATCCCGCGCTTCTTCAATCTCCCTACCCGCCTTCGGATCCCATTGCCGAGTGGTCTTATCATAAGATCCGCTGATCATTCGCTGGCCATCCGGAAAATAGGATATGCATCGAATGTAATCTCCATGACCCTGCAGAGTCATGGCTGGTTGCATATTTGATTTCGTGGGGGCCGCCTTCACTGATGCGGAAGCCATCGCTGCGTCTCTGTGAGCAAAACAGTGAAGTAGCCAAGTACGGGCAGGGTATTCTTTGTAGGACCTGTGTGAGCTCTCCTCGTGCGCTGCAGGCCTGACGTTGATAGTCTTTTTTCAAAGATCCCTAACGAGTATTTTGCCTGTGGTAGAGCTGATCATCAGTTCATCCGCGCTGGAAGGTCCAATAAGACTTGATATTACCAAGAGGCTATCGATGATAAAGAGAGAAATTCTACAATCTGACTACAGCTGTCGTGCGATATATGCTCTCTCTTCAATCTACTTCTCCTTGCTTATAGACTCACAGCCTCTCACAGCCATGACGTTGACAAATTCCTGTGCTAGGGCATTTCTATTCGCCACCCGCCAGTGTTGCGGTGTGCCTGTTAGTGGCGTATCTGGATGGCCCTGATATATTGTATGTTCGGTCTTTAGGATTCCCCCTTTTTTCATTGCTCGCTCACTTTTCAGTTTTGCTTTGAGTGCCAGCGGACGCGTGAACCGTTGTTTTTAATATTGTACAGAGACAATACGGAGACCACCTTTCCTCGTCCCATTGTTGAGACATTCTCAAGTATCCGAGGCTGACACCCACCAACCCACACAATCTGTCGGTATCGATCATTTGTGCCTTGATCGCGCTCTGATCGATCACCTTTGAGTGTCTTTCTGACACTGCAACTCAAAAACGACGTGCCTATACCCAGAATTCAAATTAGCCTCTTCACGTTAAGCGCTAAGCTTCACCTCCCCACACACTTATCACCCTTACTTGCCCTCTCGCCGCCTCCACTATATGCATTGTTTTCATTCTGTCTTTGAACTTTCAAACACCAACATGTCTTGCCGCATTCCACACGTCGGTGAAAGCCCCCTCATTAATCGTGCGGCTCACAAGATGCATTGTGGCTGCTGTGGAGGGAGTGTTGAAGGGACAGAGGATGGTATTGGCTCCTCCGGATGGACGGTGAGTCTCTTTACATTTCAAATATTTATCCCAGACCTACATACAATGCACGTGTTTCCTCGCAGATTCGACCACCTATGATGTCGCTATGTGGATCTCTGGCGTTTCTTCACATCACCAATGTCTTCTGTAGAGCCCCGATCATCGATTCTGGAGTCTGAATGACATTGTATCCTCTGTTGCAAATAGAATTGAAATGGTTTGTTTTCGGTGAAATGTGGCCCGGGCTAATGTTCATTTGGTGAAATTTGTAGACGAGCAAGGATGTTCCATCTCTCAGATGCTATGCACGCTCGCCTACCTCTGCGTCACATGCGTTTCTCCGCCAGCACCTATCCCGACGCACGTTCACCACCCTTACCACTTTTTCCGCGCCAGTGCATGGACCATCCGTCCCCTTCCACTGCATTCCGACGTCCCACTCACGCACATGGGCACGACCTTTTCCAACTTCAAGTTATTGGCGTCGGCGTCCTATATACCAACGATTTTCGCGCGCCAATAGCAGGACCTGTGCATAGTCCACCACATACAGCTTGTCGACACGAGATCAGTCAGTTGACAGGAAGGTTGCTATCGAAAAGCGAGTATTATCAAGGACGGTCTGCAAATGAATAATGTGTTCGCGGGCAACCGAAGGATGTCATCAATCGTCTTTTTGTCAGAGCCACATGTTCAGTAGCTCTCGGACGAGCTAGTGGTAAGATATGGCGATCTAAGCCAGCCAAGGCACGAGGCTGGATTAGAATTAGTCAACATGCGAATAAGCGATGTGGTGTAGCGCTTTTTGTTCCTGCCCATCATCGCAATATTCTCTCGTCCTAAGTATTAGGCACTAGCCGTCTTTTTGCTCCCTCCCGCCTCTCCCCGATCAAAGCGCGGACAAATAACACTAACAAAAGCTAAAAACTAACAAAACCAACAGAAGCAAAATAGCATTTGTCCGACGCATCGGTGACCGCTCCCTGCTGTCGCTATCACAGCTGGTGATCTGATCGGGCCCGCCCGCCCAACACAGCTCACCTTGATACATACTTAGGGATTGATGCTGGAAATCCCATGGTAATGTCAACAAAGCCATAGTCCATGGAGCGATTGAGATCAGTCTCGGCAAGCATCGAGAGGTCTCCGTCACGTTCGGGCCATCCTTGAGCCATCCTGAAATCCTTCCGAGTCGAGAAGAGCTTGAAAGTTGGGACCACTAGACACAGTGAAGAAAGATTGATTTGAAGCAGAATTCATAAGTAGAGCACGTCTCGAACGTTAGGCTGCCCCGCAGCATTGGAATGAAAGCTGATCACTGCTGGAGACGATGAGCGACGTTACATAGAACAACGATACTTGTACTAATGTATGATCGAATAACTTGGCAGACTTATCTAAGCAATGTCTAAGTCCCGAACAGGGTTTTCCGTCATGTGCCGACTCCAAAGCGCGCACTATCCAAATTCAAACCCAGATTTACCAGTCCGTCTATCGGTTTGCCTCATAGACGGACTGGTCACAAGTCTAGTTTAACAAAGAGACTCAAAACCGGATTTTCGTGAGTACCTTCACAGCTATTAAATCGAAAACACATTACTGCAATGTGGCGAAATACAGGTCACAGCTCGACAAAGCTGTTTCTATGACCTTCAATTGTCGTCCACAAAAGGTCTTAGA